GCATCGGCTTGAATGTAATTATTTAATATTGATAGCGCTATTCATAAATGATGGGGATTGTTTTGCCAAACAAACGAAACTGGTGGATAACTCCTTGCGTTGAAATCTCAACGTGATCAAATAAGATACAACCCATAGTAAGTTTATGCAAGTCTACACAAGTGGGTGTCTATCAGAAAACAGGTCATGTTTAATCACAAATTTTCTTAAAATCGCAATTGATAATGCCCTTTCACCGCGAAAATACATGTGAAAACTACCGAAACTACTACGACCTGTCATAAAACTGGCTCACCAAAGAAACATTTTCAATTCCTTTTGCAATGCCAGCTATGCTTGAGCTACAAGCTTCTGTAACCGTTATCTTGGTATCCGGAACAATGGCCGTCCTGCAGTCACGACAAATTCCTACACACACAAAAAAATGATAAATTATAATCGAACTGTTCGTAAAGTAAAACTAATTTATCAATACTAATGGCTCAGTCAATTCCAAGCCCGCTCATCCCCCGGGGCATTTGTCTTTTGATTTTGAAAATGTGGAAAATGCCCCACGGTGAGGCAAGCTCACGCATACAAGTAATCATTCCCAAATAAATGTAACTTCATTAGAACGACTGGAGCCTGCAACAGCTTCAATCGCTTTTTAACATCTAAAACTGCAACTCTTTTGCTTCCCGGCGTTCTTCTTTGCTTCATCTCTCGTTTGCACACGGAAACAACAGTCCAAATATTTGTACAGTGTTGGGGCAGAACCATTTACATTAAACTCTCGCTTTGCGGACACCTCGCTATTACGGACATTAGCTATTACGGCAAAATTCAGATCCCCGACAAAAGAGGTTTGTCTGGAAATGACTCCAAGCATTACGGACTCTCACTACAGTGAAAACCCGATATAACGATAATGCTGAAAAATAACCAAACATATCGTTATATTGGGGTAAAAGGAGTCAAAGAGAAGCTGTCGACGGAAACTTTACAGATGCTCGGTAACTGTATTAAATTCAATGTTTTGTTTAAATTGTGACTGTGTACTGTGTACTCATTCTCATCGTTATATCGGGAATATCGTTATATCGAAGATCGTTATATCGGGGTTCTGTCCCATACAGTTTACTGTAATATTTGCAGGGACATAGAATATTCATCGTTATACCGGGAATATCGTTATATCGAGGATCGTTATATCGGGGTTCCACTGTATTACGGACACTAAACGACGTCCCGAGGATGCTTCACTAACCGGGCTGATCGTCTTTGGAAAAGGCCCCACACTGGGGTAGGGGAATGAGAATGAATAAACGAACGAACGAACGAACGAAAATGAATAAGAATGAGAATGCCTGGGGGAATTTTCGGGCTTGGATAGGCCCTTTTACAGTTGCGTGCTTAGATACCAAGCCTTTGAGTGGAAGCGAGGCTCAAGTTGACCTTGTTTTGATACAAACCCTGTTTCTTTTGATATGCAAATCCTTTAATTGTTATGCTAACCAGTTTTTGATCTCTATCGTGTCAAGGTCAACACAAACCTCGCTTTCATACAGAGGCCTGGTTAAATATCACAGAACTGTAAAATGCTCTATTGACAGAGACAAAAACAGTTTTTTAATCCTACCCTCCCTTTCACTTTTCAAATCACCTGCCCGTTCCCTCGCACCAACAACGCAACAATGTCCCCTAAATCTATCCATCACTCTTCCCTAAGAGCGGTTTTGCGGTGTAGTGAGTGGCCCTGAGCCCCTGACCAAAATCATGAAATATCTCGGTCCCAGGCCGCATGGTGAGATAAGGAAAGAGGTGTATTAGTTTTTGGCGACAAGAAGATGACAAAAAAAAAAACACTGATCAAAAATAATTTGATTAAACTAGCTCACGCTACAAAATTAAATGGCTGGTTAAATGTGTGCTTCAGTGGTAGTACTAATTTAAATGTGCCAATTTTGTTTTTACTTGTAACTTCTTGTCCTGTTTGTCATAGCGTCCTATTGTAAGTTAACAACATTACAAAGACTTACCAGACCCAACAGGGAGGAATATT